AGGACTCAAGGACTCAAGTCCAGGTGTCCCCAGCTCCCGGCCAAACCATCTACTGGCTGGTGAGCTCTGAGGTGGAGATTTTCGTAGCACGGTGGGTGACGCGGGCTCGGGGGCCCGCCTAGCTGGGTCTGAATCCCGCCTTCCACTTACAGGCGGCGTGGGCCAACATCTCACACCTCTGTGCCTCAGTGTGCTTTTGGCAGAGTGAGACTCGTAAAAGGTAGACTGTGAAGATTCAGTGACTGAAAACAGGTGAAGCTCTCAGGACACGTCTGAGCGGAGAGTATGCGCCCAGTGAATGCTCACGACTATTGCTGTGTTTATCGTGTTATTCAGCACCTCCTGGGTCTACAGCCCCCCTCCACCCCCTTTGCTGCTTGCCTGCCCAGGGCTCTCTGAGGGCCAGGCTCGAAGCCCGCCTGGGACGGTGCGGTTCTGTGGGGCCATGGCTCCCTGGACTCCTGGGAGGCTGAGGAAGGCCCCCTTTCCTCTCACACTCTGCCTTCTCTTTGCAGATTTTAACGAGAATGGCTTCATCGACGAGGAGGACCTGCAGAGGATTGTCCTCCGACTGCTCAACAGTGATGACGTATCCGAGGACCTGCTGACCGACCTCACGAACCACGTGTGTGCCCAGGGCCACACAGGCTGGGTTGGTCCAGGCCATCCCCCAAAGCCCCTGGATGGCAGGCTGGGTGGGGTGCCCTGAGGGATGGGCACATGCTGGAGGCAACTATCACCCAAGTTTGCATCTTTCCTCCAAAGTCCTTCCTTCCAGGGTCCCCAAGAGCAGGTGCCCAAGCCACCCACTCCAAGGGGCCCTCCCACCCACACTGCGGTCACTGTAGGCAGGTGGCCCGACAGCAGCTTAGCCGCAGATGGACACATCATCACGTCGCCTTTCCCATGTTATCCCAGATGTCCTAGAGTGACAGTCCAAAGTGTGACAGGACATGAAGGCAGCCTCATGAATCTGTTTGTCCTAAGACCATGGGAACCTTCAAGTGCTTGTGGTCTGGATTGAAACTAGAAGCAAAGATAAAACCATGAGAGGTCATCACTGCCTTCTAGACCTGACCGGGCCCCTTGCAGTACAGAGCCCCTGCCTGTGACCGGATATAGGTATGGGGGGGGATGTCACCCCATTCACCTCTGCACCCATTTTCACTGCCAAGTTTGTGCTGGAGGCACGAAGGGAACTCTTCCCATGTCCCAGACAGACCTCAGCGCACATAACCTTATCTCTGTATCTCCATGTCTTTGTCTGGGGTGGGGAGTATTTGGGGCGGGGCGGAGAACATCTGCCTCACCCCCCCCACAAGGGGGTCAGGGAACTTACGCGCATGTTAAGCACCTAGCAGAGAGCCTGGCCTATGGCAGCACTTGGCGTGAGACATTTTACCCTCCGCCTGTGGCCCCGTCTCACTTTCTCATACTGGGCTCCTCTCTGCTCTCTGGCTCCTCCTACACCCCTGGCCAGGTCCTGAATGAGTCGGATCTGGACAATGACAACATGCTGTCTTTCTCAGAGTTTGAACATGCTATGGCCAAGTCTCCAGACTTCATGAAGTAAGGTGCTCTGGAGTGGGGGAGGGGGAGGGACCAGCATAGTGGGGGTGGGCAGGAAGAGCCAACGAAGCCCCTCATCTTCCCAAGGAGGTCATGAGTTTCCAGGGTACTTTGCCGATTCTTTCAGAGTCAGCAAACCTGGAGCTTTGGAGAAATTCAGTAACCTACATTTCTAACCTTTTGAAAGAAGGAGTGGGGTTTTAACCAGCAAAGGCAAGATTATATTCCAGGCTCTGCAAATGACGTGGGTGGTCCTGACTTCAGGTGCTGCCCATCTAGAGCTGGCCTGGCACACCGGCGTCTTCCCCCCAGGCACCAGGGGGCTCTAGGACTGACCGGCAGGTGGCCTTTGCCACTGCCTGTCCTGCTCCCCTGCCCCCTGTGGTCACCAGGAGTCGGGGATTTGCATGGGGGTGTGAAGATGCTGGTCATGGGGTATTTCCAAACCTTTTTTCAGGTAGAAGGGTCATTAATGGTCTTATAGCTTGGTGCAGACACCCTTGAGATGACTGGCCATCTCCATATTGCCCAGGCCATGTTTAACCATCTTGTTTGGATCCTTCCAGTTATGGGGAAAGCACCACCCCTGGAGGCAGCCCATTCATGATCGCACAGCCCTGTTAGAATGCCCTTCTTGGGTGGAGTTGGCATCTGTTTGCATACATCTGCCCTTGGTCTTATAGTCTAGGTGAATTTGATAGCAAAGAATGGCCACGCATGATGGTTTAACTAACCAATCGGAAAAAGAACAAAGACAACTAGACCTCAGAGAATACCTGGTCAGGAACTGAAGATGGTGTATTTTCTCTCTTCTCTGTGCCTGGAGTCTCTGCCTCTCTCTTCAGCTCCTCTGCACTTAGCTCTACATGCAAACCAGAAATCTCTCCTTTGTCAGACAGGAGGCCACTCATGGCCTCCCGGCAGCAGTCGCTCACTCCTAAGTAATATTTCTCAGCTCTGACTCCAAATTCCCAGACAGAGAATCCTATTGGCCTGAGTCGGGTCAGGTGTCCACCCCTCATCCAGTCACGTGGTGGGAGGAGAGGGCTCTCCAGGCCAACCCGGCTGCTATGGGGCCCAGGCCTGGGCAGACCCTCCGAAAGACTGTCCACACTTGGAACCACCCCAACTAAGGTAATTCCTCTTCTTCCAGAACAGCTCAGCACATCACTGAGGCCAGAATCTTGTCCTTCTTGCCTTTTTCTTTGAATCTCTCCCATTTCTTTCCATTGGTTTTGGCACCACGAGGTTCTGACACCCTTCACTTTCTGGTGATGCTAAAAGGAACATAAGGCTTTGGGAGGGTTTGCAACAGCTGCGAACCAGCCATCCCAGAGAGAGGGACGAGAGGGGGCCTCCGAGGTTCTGACACCCTTCACTTTCTGGTGATGCTAAAAGGAGCATAAGGCTTTGGGAGGGTTTGCAACAGCTGCAAACCGACCATCCCAGAGAGAGGGACGAGAGGGGGCCTCCAGGACCGCTATGAACCTGGAAAGTGGAGGGCACTTTAGAGCTGTAGCTCAGGGTGGCTCATGGGATGCTTTCTCTTAGCTCCTTTCGGATTCACTTCTGGGGCTTTTGATGTGGCCACAAATACCTGAGCTGGCAGCCTCGAAGGGGACTACTGGAACTTGGAATTCAACCCCCTTCGGGCACTGGGGGACTCTGATCAGAAGTATGACTTTGTCCCTGTCCTACCTCACTTCTAGACTATTGTTTATTCAATAAAGCAAAACAAAAGCCTTTCCCATCCCCCACCAGTTCATCTTTTGAATACAGGATCGCGTAGAAGTACCTTTTATTAGGGACTGCTCATTCCAGGGCTTAAGTTTGCTGATGACAGCAAGCTAGCTGGGATGACCAGCCTTTTTGAGGACAGGGTTCAAATCCCAACCCACATCACAGCAGGGACCAGGCCAAATGGGATGAAGTTTACGCAGAAAATCCACATCATTCCCTTCCTTCACTGGAGCTACCTCCCAGCATCTCCTACTGCCAACTACAGAGACATGTATATAGTGGTCATTCTAGCTGGTGCCCAGTTTCCCAGTCCTTGTCATGGGAGAAGGCATCTAGGACCCACTTGGCACCCCCAGGCTCCAGGATGCAACAGTGTGGACCAGCAGTTGGGGTTTATTTGCTTTGCTCTTCAGCCAAATCCTGGAATGAACTTGGCCACCACAGGGACCCTTTGGCACCCTGGTAATCAAGGAGTCTGGGTCACAGGAGAAGCCCCTTATAGGGTCTCTGAGAGCTGACAGATGCCTCTCTGATGGGCACACAGTTTTTCTTGTCTACATTGTCCTCTAAGAAGGTGTCTAACCACTGGCTCCCAGGGGAGGGGCTGTCTCACTGTGACATGTACTTGAACCTGCAGTGGTCTCTTTGCCTTTAGGTCCTGACTCACCCATTCAAGAGGTAATAAATTTCCCATTGATTGATGGCAGTCCCTTGATCAACTCTAAGAGATGCTGGAATGTTGGAGAAACCCTGTCATGTGGATGCATACCTGGCCTGAGGTCCCCATCCCAGATCCTGTCTATGGAGGGGCTGTCCCCCACTTCCTGTCCCCTGCCCCAGCAGGCAGGAGGCCTCCCAGGAAGAATGAAGCAGCAGCCTGGTGAAAGCAGACACTCCAGACTCCCCACCTCAAGCATGTGCTCTGGGAGCCCATTCCCCCCATTTCCTTGAAGAATGCTTAGTCCTGGGTCACTCCCTCCTGTGCTGTTGTAGAAATAGTCCCCAGGGGAGATGCCAAATCAGCCTGTCCATGCCAGTCTGGGAAGAATGCAGAGAGAGGTTGGTGGACACAGCTTTTTCTCTCCGGCACCAGAAGGGCTTCAGGGCTGAGTCATCCCTACCTCTGAGTCTCCACATGGACCACAGGCAGGTTATGTAGTGGGAAAACGAGGCCTTGGGTCAAAACACTGGGTCACTTCTAAGCTGTGGGAGCTTGGGCAACTTTCTCAACCTCCAAGACTCCGTGTCTTTATCAGTAAGGTGGGGCTGACACCACCTCCCTCACAAGTGAGTGTGTGGACTAAATGATGCCAAGTCAGGGCTCAAACTGGAAGTCCTTTGCACCTGACCCCCTGTGCAATTGTTCCGTGGTCACTTCCCCTTCATTCTCAGACATGTGATCATGGGGCTTCCTCGATTATGCTCATGGAAGCAGATGGGAGGTATCTCTGTACCTGAGTGACCTGCCACCAAGACTCAGGAGCCCTACAGTTCTTGGTCCTACCTGCCCCCACCTCAGAGGAAGGGTGGGGGTGCCCAGTAGGTCACTGGACACAGCTTTCTACTGGCGTGAACCCCTGAGCTGGGCTTTCCACAGGCCTTAAGACCCAGTGCTGTGTGACCCTCAGGCGTGTCTTTGTTGTGGCCAAATATTCCTGGGGCTCAGAGGAGAACACCATAGTTTGGTCGAGGCTAAAGATTTTATTCCAAAAAGCCAAGCTGGTCAGAGCCAAGCTCTCAGACATCACGCTCTGAACTCAAAGTAGCGATCTCTCTTCTGCCGCTCGTGTGGGGAGACCCTCTTCCCCGAGGGGAACATCTGGTAGGTCTTCAGGTTCTCAGGGGATACTCTTAAAAGGTGCCACTTCTTCTCTGGGGTCAGAGGAGGACTGGGGGCAAGGGTGGAGCCAGCTTTATGCAGTGTGCCAGGGGGGTGGGGGCGGTGCCCACCCACAGCCCTGTGTACCCAACGTTCTAGCCCGTCCTGGCCCTGCTGGCTGCTCATCAGCTCAACATCTGATAAGTCACCCTGCAGCTCAGAGCAGAATAATTTGTACCTGTACAATGGTACAGTGGTTAAGAGAGAGAACATGGCTGTCAGACAGAACATGGCTGTCAGATTCTGGCTCAACTCTTGCTGGAAGTGGACACATAAAATGGACTAATGTTAGGACATCTGTCTTAGCTTTGTTTTGAGGAGTAAATGAGGTAATGCTTATAAAGCACTTCAATAATGCTGGACAAGGAGGAAACACTCAACGAATATAAGAAATGGTGATGATGGCGATGGTGGTGAGAGCGATGGCGGTGATGGTGGTGATGGTGGTGATGGTGATGATGGTGGTGATGGTGGTGATGGTGGTGATGGTGATGATGGTGGTGATGGTGATGGTGGAGACGGTGATGGTGGTGATGGTGATGGTGGTGATGGTGGTGATGGTGATGATGGTGGTGATGGTAATGGTGGCGACGGTGATGGTGGTGGTGATGGTGGTGATGGTGATGACAGTATGGTGATGATGGTGATGGTGGTGGTGATAGTGATGGTGATGGTGGTGGTGATGATGGTAATGGTGGTGGTGATGATGGTGGTGATGGTGGTGATGTGATGATGGTGATGGTGGTGGTGATGGTGGCGACGGTGATGGTGGTGATGGTGGTGATGGTGATGGTGGTGATGTTGGTGGTGATGGTGGCGACGGTGATGGTGGTGATGGTGGTAATGGTGATGAAAGTAGGGTGATGATGGTGATGGTGGTGATGTGATGGT